TGGCTTTGTGTATTCAGAACATTTATAGCTCTAACAATTCTCATCAGGCATCTCCACACAATCCTCCAACAAACTCCAAATCTGTCTCCAACTCCTCTGTAATATGTGTGAAAACAGAATAGTACACTTAGTAAAGAATTATCTCAATCAGTAAAATTATCGTTTTGCTTACCTGAAAAATTCTTGGTTGGCAAGAAGCCACAGTGACATTAAAAGTTGCTGGTCAACTGACAGTGCATTTCTTCCTTTTCCTATTACTATTTCTTTTGATCGTAATAAAATGGGAACAAGATCCTTCAGTAAATTTTCAAAAGTAAGTCAACTTACTCGAAAGTGTTCTTTAAAAACATTTGGCCTATATTCTAATGCAACCTCTGAAACATAGTTATTTTGCATACCGATTTCTTTTTTTTCTTACTTTTATATTGTGTTAAATAAATAACCAAAATTAATTCTTCTTCCTCGGATTCTGAATCTAATTCCGATAATATTTCTAAAATGATTCCTAAGCTTGCTGTCATCTTCGATCCTACTCGTATACTTTCCGCCATGACAGAAGCTATCTGCATCATGTGACAAGGACTGATCCGATTTTACAGATCGATCTATACAAAACGAAAAGTATATGCACCCTAAGTGTATTAGGGAGAAAAAAACTGCATTTATAACACATGCTACTAAGCAGTAGCTAGCAGGTAAACAAGTGTAATGTATTTTATTAAGTACATTAAAGGATCAAACACTAACAATAAGTGGTTTTTCTGTGTATAAATGTACTTTTCAGATTAGTTTTGACTTATGATAAAACCTCAGGAACTTAACCTGTCTGTAAGTAGTGGACACCTGTATCTACACCAAGGAAGAAAATGAGAAACAATGACTTAAAGTTTTCACCCTGGCTCTAAGGTATTATTTGAACAAATCACTTTTGAATATGGTTTATCATACATATATATAATAGAATTTTATCAAATGAATTTTCTTTAATCCAGCACTGGATTTAAGAAAATTCATTTGATAAAATAAAAAAACCCAACACTGGTTTGATTTTATAGCAAAAAAGTTCTCCAAAGGTCAGTTTTTAACATGTCCTTGAACATCAGTCAAGGCTCACTATCGTTAACCTTGACCAACACTCTACATGTAGCACAGTGGACTACTTGATGTTACAGTTTAAGGGGAAGTGGGGGCTTGACACATCCCCTTAAACTGTATAACATCAAGTAGTCTGTGAACAGTCAAGTGGGATACTCAAAGCTGGCATAGTTGCATGGGCTAAATAGTAGTGTTGTAATGAATAGTATATTCGGCCTCAGGCCGAATACCGAATATTCGGCCAGGAGCGTAGCTGAATATTCGGCCAAACTATTCTGCTCGATTAACACACGTACGAAAATTGGCGCGCAAACCGCATTATGGCCAGGACCTGCTCTCCATTGGCCCACTGTCACAACACTTCGTCAATCGCGTTAATTCTTGACAGTTGTAGCAGACAGACAAGAGCGTCGTGGCAGTATGTGATAAATGATGATATCAAATGTGAATAACAATGAAATGACCTACACGTGTAAATTACGGAAAAAGAACAGAGAAAGACCGCAAAGGGAAAATGTGAAAATTAGGGTTTCTTTCCCGGGATCCCGTTTTCCCGGGATTCTCGCCGTTTATTCCCTACGAGAAAAATCCCAGGAAATTTTATTTTTCAGGGAAATCTCGCATTTCAATAATAATTTACCATGTCAGGTTTTCTTTCTATTATTTATTATACAAAAAGTTGCATTTTGAAGACTCACCTAAAAGAGAAATTTTGAGGTTTCTTGCTGCATATTATTACCCATGCTTTACAAGTCTCTACTTGTTAGTTCATGTAATATCTATGTATTGTGTTTGCACATCATTGAACAGCGGAGACTTGCTGAAAGTAAATATCACTCATCGCACTTTATTTTTTATTTCATCTTTAGAAATAAATTAGTATTTTTTTCGTAATCATTAAAACTCACAATGAAACGCTTTATTTTACTTTCATCTTATAATGTAGGAGAACATAAATTAATTGAGCCTAACCTGTCCATATGGATGAGATTGGCCCTACACTTTTAGTTACTTACTAGAAAATAAATTAAATTATTCGAATATATGATATTCCTGTATGATCTTTTTTATTCATATAAAATTCTATTTTACTATCTCATCCCGGGAAAAGAAATTATTTGTCCCATAATCCCGCTGGAGGCAAATTTCCCGTGAAATGAGAAACCCTAGTGAAAATAAATATGACATTGAGTTGATAGCATAATCGAACAATTCGAAGCAGCTTATTGGCGCGAAATTTGCGGCCGTGAATGCCAAACAATTGTTGTCATAGACTTCGGAAAGCTAAATGCTTGTAATGAAAGTCACTTAGCGTGCACGGGCGAAAGCCTGGGGCCGTTCGGGCTACCAAGCTGTCTCGAATCTGTGAAATCATAACTGTGACATATACCGACGTCCTATCTGTCTCTTTTCTCCGTTATCACCAGGCTATGAGTCACGTAATTGTAAAATGGGAAATCTACGACGGAAAAGTGACGAATCGAAAGTATCGTGAGCGCGTATTATGATGTATGCATAGGCATACGTGGACTAGAAAGATAGAGGAAAGAGAAAGGAAAGAGCAAAGACGAGCGCTTAAAACGGATAGACAGGGGATGTGTGTGACGATTCTCGAACGAATAGGTGTGTACGTGTGCTGATATTTGTAATTATAAATTGTAAATACGTGTGACTAATATTATATTTTTTTATTTTATGCATGTTATAAGTTATAAATAAATATAAACAAACAACACTAACCCGATAACATTAAATCTAAATATCAAAATGATTAATTTACTGTGTTTTTGCTATTTCTTACTCCTGTTTTTAGGTATTCGGTATTTGGCTGAATAGTGATTAAATATTCGGTATTCGGCCGAATACCAAATAGTAACCGAATATTCGTTACATCACTACTAAATAGTTAAACATGATAGTCTTAGTAAAGTGATGCAACTCACAAACTCACAAATTTTTGGAAACTGTATCTCACAAAGGATCGCTTATAGAGGTATGCTTTTTTTTTTAACTTTTTGCTCCTATGGGTATGCTCTACAACTCTGATAGGGTTCCAACTGTCTCATTCAGAGCTTGAACTGAGACAATAAGATTAACATCAACTGTCAAAAGACTTAATATGTTTATCATCAATTTAGAGCAACTATCTTAATAAAATCCAACAATTTAGTTTATATATGCTTATAGGTTAACCAGCATTTAAACAATGCTTTTATTTTAACAAAGACTTTATGACTGTTGAATGTAATTTCATTAGTTTTTACTGTTATGAGAGAACTTACATGATGAAATCTTTATCGTATTATATTTTAGTATTTACTAACCAATAAAATTGAGAAAACATTTATATTTAGTAGTGTTGCAACAAATAGTATATTCGGCCTCAGGCCGATTACCGAATATTCGGCCAGGAGTGTGGCCGAATAGCCGAATATTTGGCCAAACTATTCGGCTTGTTTAACGCACGTACGAAAATTGGCACACAAACCGCATTATGGCAAGGACCCTTCTCACCGTTGGCCCACTGTCACTACACTTCGCCAATTGTGTTAATTTTTGACAGCTGTAGCAGACAAACAAGAGCATCATTGCAGTATGTGATAAATGATGATATCAAATATGAATAACAATGAAATGACCTACACATGTAAATAACGGAAAAAGAACAGATAACGACCGCAAAGTGAAAATGTGAAAATAAATATGAAATTGAGTTGATAGAACAATTTACGGCCGTCAATGCCAAACAATTGTTGTCATAGACTTCGGAAAGCTAAATGCTTGTAATGAAAGTCACTTAGTGTGCACAGGCGAAAGCCTGGGACCGTTCGGGCTATCAAGCTGTCTCAAATCTGTGAAATCATAACTGTGACATATACCGATGTCCTATCTGTCTCTTTTCTCTGTTATCACAACGCTATGAGTCAAGTAATTATAAAATGGAAAAACTACGACGGAAAAGTGACAAATCGAAAGTATTGTGAGCGCATATTGTGATGTATGCATAGGCATATGTGGACTAGAGAGATAGAGGAAAGAGAAAGGAAAGAGCAAAGACGAGTGCTTAAAAAGAATAGGCAGGGTCAGACCCTCACATGTGTGTGACGATTCTCGAATGAATAGGTGTACATGTGCTGATATTTGTAATTATAAATTATAAATTGTAAATACATGTGACTAATATTCTTTTTTTTATTTTGTGCATGTTATAAGTTATAAATAAATATAAACAAACAACACTAACCTGATAACAGTAAATCTAAATACCAAAATGATTAATTTACTGTTTTTTTGTTATTTCTTACTCGTGTTTTTAGGTATTCGGTATTCGGCCGAATAGTGATTAAATATTCGGTATTCAGCCGAATAGCGAAAAATAGGCCAAATACCGAATAGTAACTAAATATTCGTTACATCACTAATATTTAGACATCAATGGAAAAAACAAAAATCACCTGTTTATTGCTAATCAACTAATATAAAATCATTTGTTACATGTAACTTCAATTCTAGGCAGAAATTACTTTTAGTAATTTTGGTTAAAGTATACCTAGGTAACCCCAATGGCAGCGCTTCAGTTAGGTTAGGTTAGATTAACTATATGTTTAGTAGGGGTTTCCTTTTTTTTTTTTTTATTTTGTTCAAGAACTACTGTGAATCAATAACTAGTGACGTTTGGTACTCAGCAGCCTGCCGGCAGCTCCCCTCCGGGAGGAGTTCATCGGGACCACGAACAATCAGAAGCGCCACCATGGGGTTACCTAGGTATACTTTGACCGTAATTTCTTCCATTTCTTTATACACTGTGCATAAACTATCTGTATAATATAGATTAGGTAACTTTAACCGGTAATTTATATTATAAAATTAGCTTGTATAACTCCTACCAATTCTGTTGTACTTACTTGTAAATTATGTTTTTTAAGAAACTGTAAAACTGCAAATATAGTATTTTTATCCAATTCATTTTTATCATCTTTTGCTAAGTTTGAAGTTTCATGATCAGTAACAGTTTGTTTTTCTTGATTATGTTCAGAGTCGTTCGTAATAACTTCCTCTTTCGGTACAATTGGAAGTGACAAAGGTATAATTTCAGACATTTCTGATATTTAAAACAATTTAACCCTTCTATATCGTGTATCCTGATGTAAAATGTTGGCTCTTCATCAATTTAATTATTGAAACATTAATACACAAATACGCATATTTTGAACTACACGACCACAGATGAAAACAAAACAATGTATGAAGCGCCCTCACCGATATAACCCAAAAATAGCCCAAGAAAGTTATAACAAATGAATGATTTTTAAAAATTATAATTTTTATCGTGTTAAAATATTTTAAATATATAATACATGTTTGATAATATTATTCTTCTGGAACCGGTTGTGTTTGTTCTCTATAANTAAAAAAAATTTAGTAAATTTTAACGCCTTGTGCGTATACAACACAGCATCTTTCAGTGCTAAAAATATAATGGCACACTTTACGATTATTATTATTCATTTACGAATAAATAATAATCAAAACCGAATTAAAATAGTATTTATAATCAGTCCCTTAAAAAGGAAAAAAGAAATATGAGTTAATTAAAAATGAGAAAATTTCATATATTAAAAGAATTTCGAATGATTACAGTTGACTTTCCCTATGTTCAAGCCAAACTTATGCCGTGAAGCGATTGAAGCGCTCGAAGTGGCAGAAATATTTATTACGCCACTATCGTAACATTAGAGCTATTGGCAGCGCAAGGACCAGTACAGTACAGTCAGTAGATTTTACAATACGTGTGCCGGACTGTGAACGGCTCACGTATTTGTAAAATCGAAGTGACTCGTACAACATGGAATTCATATAAAACGGAATTATCAACAGTGTTATAGGGGAATCGATTGTACATATCGGCTCTGCTTTTACTTGCTTCAAACTGTATGCAGTCTCTAATTTTCTTTATGCTGACATTTGTAGTCTTCTTGTCATGTAATATTTTCTGCCTGAAGTTGGTAAATAATTTTCACTCGTCTAGTCTATGGAGGATGTCGTCAATTTTAGTTGGGCAATGTTTACATTTGTTCGTATTGCATAGAGTATGATTGAATAGAAATTGGTTTCTGATTAGGGTATTTGTCCGTGCCCTGTTTATTGGGTTATTGTATGGCGATTGATATTATCGGACTGTTTGGCTTAATCCAGTTGTAAAACCATGGAAAATTGTGATTGTGATAATTTGTCCAATTTTCATGGATACATGACTATCTGTTAATTAATCGTCAAAATTGACAAAAATGTGCTTTAATTTTATTTAATTAATTAAACAAATAAATAAAGTTGTTAAAATGGCAACAAAATGTAAATTTGACAAAAACCATTTCCTATTTGTTAGCCTTGGTATATCTAAACACTCCCAATGTGGCTGAAGTTAAGAGCGATGACACGTTACGAATTTTTATTAATTCCCGGGACATCACGCGTTAATGAATAAAAATCAGAAAGGTGTGTGGTGAGTCCGTAATCATAACAATAAGGCCAGCGGGATCATAGTTATTCATTGCTAGTTAATAGATAATAACAGATTAGAAGCTTATATCGGATAAAACAGTGTTTTTCAACCTGGAGGTCGCGGGTAAAAGAAAAAGACAAGTGTTTGTAGGTCCTACACTACATTAAAAAAACTACAATTTCAGCGAGAAGGCTGTACCTGTATTATACAGTACAGTAGGTTTTTTGATAGACATTTAGGTCTGTCGCCTGGGAGGGGCCTGGGTGGGTACGGCCCACCCCAGAAAATGATTGCTGAAAAAGTGTTGAGCTGACTTGTAAAAAGAAGTAATAAGTAGAGAAGTAGAAGTGAAACACCCTCATCCTAAAAAAAAAAGGAAGTACAGTAACATACTATATGTAAGAAGGAAGTAACATACTATACGTGTCTTAAGTTATTGTCGATTCTCCTCAAATTCTCATTTTAGTCATCAACAGTAATTTCTATAAACAGAAAGAAAATTAAATACATAATTTTTTAAATCACTGATATAGTTTTAATATTGCCCTAGGTGGGTCGCCAGAATTTTTTAACTTGTAAAGGGGTCGCGTATTCAAAAAGGTTGAAAAACACTGCAGTAGAGCATCGATTATCCGACCCCCGATTAACCGTCACATCGGTTAACCGACCGTTCTAGTCGGCAAATTTCAAATGTCCGCTAGTGATGCGGCGCTACAATATTTGGCTATGTCTTGGCTACTTTAATTGTTAAATTTTTGCGTGTTTTAACTGGCAACACTGGCTCAACCATGAAAGGGAGGCCAGTATTTAAACGAGACTTAATTGTTTAATTATGAGTGGTTGTTTATTTTGTGAGCAATAAAATAATTTAAAAATAATTTTTAACGATACAATAGCGACGATTATTATTTAAAAAAAATTTTGTTAGGCTTAACATCGATGAAAATTCAACGCGAAGTAGGTTAATAGTGATATACTAATATACTAATTACATGGGATATACTAATATACTATACTAATAATGTATTTTTTTCATTCTTTTCGGTTATCTGATTTTTTCAGTTATCCGACCAACCTGAGTCCCCAATTGAGTCTGATAATCGATGCTCTACTGTAAATGCATCCTGGCCTGTCATGACAAAGCACGTGGACGAAATGCTTCAAAAATTATGAAATATTTACAATTCTACAATATTCATGTAAAATAATATATTTGTGATTTTAAATATAAAAATTACTGCCTACCCTCTGTCAAAAGAAATGACAAAACTTATCCAGATTTTTCGAACCACTGTTGCGACCACAGTACTGTAGTCATGTTGAAACGGGCTTGAATATTATCAATACCTGTATTTAAGAACTACAAATCAATGTATTCGTATCAGCTTAATTTCTTTAACAAACGAAGTTAACAGTATATATTCACTGTTCTTTTATGATAATGATCTAATTTCATTATTGATTAGATTACCGTTGTCCTCAACTTGTGTTTTTCCAAGGGTTCTGCAGATAAAAAATTGGGGTTCCGCAACTCATTTGAGTTCTAACTAATAGTTTAAACACATGTGAAAAATTTATTTTGATAAAGTTTTAAAAATGAATATTCATAAAGAAAGGGAACACACACATAGACTGCGTTGCTCGCATCTGTGGAAAACAGGGCTGTGGAGTCGCGTAAAAATCTACCGACTCCAACTCCGACTCCGACTTTTCCTTACCATCCGACTCCGACTCCGACTTTTCCTTACCATCCGACTCCGACTCCGACTCCGACTCCGACTCCACAGCCCTGATGGAAAATAAAATTGTTGAAAAGTATGAAAGCTGTTTCAACATTGATGTCACAAATTTTTTGATACTGCATGGCGTCAGTAGACTTCGCACTGTTTTCTTAGAGAGTCAATTGTTAAGAGCAAAATGTAGTGTAACAATTAAATAAGTTAATTTTCCATTTGAGTCTTTTTCTTTCCAGCATCTGTAACTGATTATGGGTAGTAGTAGTTGAATCATTGGAAGCGTTATACGATGTTTTGATGTGTAGCTTACACCAGATAAACCGCGTGAGGTTGGTGTAAAACGAATGCGCAAATGCCTATAATCTGTCTGCTTTATACCATTCAAATATTTTCGCCATGGAAGCTGTCCCGTATTTGACAATACGGCGCTTCCATTGGGAATATCCATATACGAATTTATATTCGAATATACAATAGCAATCGTATCGTTTTTCTTTCACGTGTAGTATAGAAATTTGTAATAAGATACATATCGCGGTTATAATAAAATATAAATTTTAATTAATTCAAAGTATGTTCAAATATGAAAATAATCTCACAATGTATTTATATTTTAGAAAATACAAGGGAAGCGACGTTTCCACAGCTTCCAAGGACGGCACGCCACTGTCATGGTGGTAAGTGAGGCTGACTGATTAAAGGAACAGATAAGACAGCAAAAGAGTCAAAACTTGCAAATGAATCTTTTTTTCTTTTTTTTTTTTGTGTTAATTAAATTATGACAACCTAACACTTGGGCGATCTGCCTAGGGAGAATTTCTTCCGGGAGGCCATTTTAAGGGTAACTAGCCCTATTTAGGCGTTATTTAGCTCCTACTACACCGTTCGCACAGAGCATTTCGATCTAGATTGTGACCAAGGTCGGTGACTATGCCATGGTGCGATCTCTCTCAACGAAGGTTGAGTCGATCGCGAAACGAGGTTCAATCGCGATCGACTCAAGCGAGTTCTTGAAACTAGGGGTACGTTCGTAAAGTCGAACGAGTTAAACGCGTTAGTAACGATTCATTCGAATAGTAGTAGTTTCGCCCAGTGCGCATGCTCTACGGTGATGACGTTTCGAACGAAACTCTAACGAGTTCACGAAGGAAAGAGTTAGTTTACTTCGTTAAGAAAATGGCGCCCGATGATATCGATGTTTCTAACTCTACTCGAATGTTTAAATTGTGAATTAAAAGGTGAAATGATTGAAATAACTGTCCACCCGAAGCAATCTAAGAAAAATATTTCGGATAAGGCTGCACTAGCAACATTCATATATTCGATTTTAGAAACATCCATTTAGTTATAATCGAATCGTTCGAAAAGTCTAACGAAATTAGTATAACGATGATATCATTCTCGTTTAATTCATTCGACTTTACGAACGTATTGTACCCTAGATCCAGTCATAAGAGAGATCCCACAATCCCACGCGCGCGAGAAAATACAAGATGACTGCGAAACACGTGTGGGGCTATCAACAGAGAAATAAAAAAGACAACTGGAGAGACGATTGACATCTATTATTAGATATATGGCAAGAAAAAATATTTATTTCTAACCAAAACTTCCATTTTGTTTGTTGGTGTTCGTGACTTATCGCGTAAGTTATGTCAGTTTTATCATCGCGTTTAATAGCCATGGGCATAGCCAGGAAGGGGCATGGGTGTGCACGGGCCCCTCCCCAGTTAACCTGGTGCCCTCCCAGAAAATTAGAGCCGAAAAAGTGTTGAGCCAATTCGCAAAAAGAAATAAAAAGTTGAAGCTAATTTAATTGTGTGTAGTGTACCGCGGCCAGAGTCGGTAGATTAACTGGTCTTTCAACTTCCTATCTTCGCTCGTTGCTAAAATCAACTAGAGACAAATGTTACCACCAGGGGCATTGCAATCATTTCAAGAGCGCTAGATCAAATCGCTGAAAAGTCGAATGTTTTCTTTTTATTGAAAGATATATAACTTTCGAA